ATTTGAACGTTTTAGTGCAGTTAGCCATTCATTTTGGTATTTGTGGCTCACAAGCTGTTTGAGACTGAGTGCGGCTTTTGCGCTCCACTAATATAGATCAGTGGTGGTGCGCGCGTTTTTGGTGTAAGCGCGAAACCTGCGGGAATGACTAAAATAATGCACAATACAAGCACTATTTAACCGGAGCGAATGAGACGTGTGAGAGAGAAGGGATCGTCGGAGAGAAGAGAGCAAGAATGCGCGGCTGACGTTATTGCCTGTGCCGCTGGTAACAAAACGGATCGGCTCGGAATCGGAAAGAAGTGAGACTGACCGGCCGGTCACCGATCCGGACCGATCATGAGGAAAATCGTCCGATTACGAACCCTGGCCAATCGATCGGTGCATATCTAGTTTAAATGTTTGGGGTTAGTACAATTTTTTTTATGTTTTTACAATAAGTCTCTTATGCTCACCAAGGTTGAAATATTATTACAATTTAAAATAACTTTTTCTAGTTTTATTTATATATATATATATATATATATATATATATATATATATATATATATATATATATATACACACACATAAAAATTACTCCTGTGATGGCAAAGCTGAATTTTCAGTAACCATTACTCCAGACTTCAGTTTCTAATACGCTGATTTGGTGCACAAGAAAAAAAAAAAAACAGCATTTATTGGAAACACAGAATTTTTGTACAATTATAAATGTCTTTACTGTCACCTTTGATCAATTTAATGCATTCTTGATGAATAAAATTAATAATTTCTTTACTGACCCAACCAATGGTAGTATACTATGTTATACATATTAATACAGTGGTGTGAAAAAGTGTTGCCCCCCCCCCTCCCCCATTTCTCATTTTTGCATATTTGTCACCCTTAAAAGATTCAGATCATCAAACAAATTTTAATATTACACAAAGATAATGCAAGTAAATACAAAATGCAGTTTTTAAATTATTATTTATTTTATTAAGGGAAAAAAGCTGTTCAAACCTGCCTGGCCCTACGTGAAAAAGTAATTGCCCCCTAAATCTAATAACTGGTTGTGCCACGCTTTGCAGC